CTGGTGTGGTGTTGATGGGTGCTGGTATCAGGTGTTGATGGGTGCTGGTGCAGGTGTTGATGGGTGCTGGTGTCAGGTGTTGATGGGTGCTGGTGTCAAGGTTGATGGGTGCTGGTGTCAGGTGTTGATGGGTGCTGGTGTCAGGTGTTGATGGGTGCTGGTGTCAGGTGTTGATGGGTGCTGGTGTTAGGTGCTGAGGGTAGGTGATGTGAGGTACGGGTGTTAGGATGGTCGGGAGGTATTGAGTGAAGGATTGCTGTGGCAGATGGTGGTGATGACAGGTGCTGCTATAAGGTGCTGGTGCCAGGTGATGAAGGAATGTGCTTAGGGCAGTTGTTGTGTCAGATGGTAGTGACAGGTGGAAGCAGGTGGAGGTGTCAGCTGGTGGTGGTGGGGAGGTGCAGCTGGTGGTGGTGACAAGGAGGTGTCAGCTGGTGGTGGTGACAAAGGGAGGTGTCAGCTGGTGGTGGTGACAAGGGGAGGTGTCAGCTGGTGGTGGTGACAAGTGGAGGTGTCAGGTGATAATGGAAGGTGGTGGTGTGAAGTGGTGGTTGCTGGCTCCACTACATATGTACACACAGTAGAAAAATAATGAAGCACCATCCTCACCCTGCCACCCACATTCCTCACCCTGCCACCCATATTCCCACCCTGCCACCCATATTCCCACCCTGCCATCTTCATTCCTTACCCTGCCATCCACATACCACACCCTGCCATCCCTATTCCTCACCCTGCCATCCACATAACACACCCTGCCATCCTCATTCCTCACTGCCCACTTTCTACACTGCGACAACCAACCTCACAAGAGAGCGCGTCACCACCACCACCTGTGCTCTTAATGTTATCCTGTGAGGATTTGGGGAGAGTAAATCTGCCGAAACGAGCTGATTTATTTATATATGTGATATTATTTACACTGAGAATAGTTTGATTCTCAAATAACAAATATGGAATCTAAATAACTTGTGATTGACTTTATACATATGAACGTAATATGGATCAGATACTCCCTCCTTCCACATACTGTATGTTAATTTTGACGTTATGGTGTATTACTGCACTTCTAAAACGAAGGTCTGTAAGTAAGTATTATATGTCATGAACAATTATCTACGCACTATGTACAGACGGGGACTTTTCCGATCGTTGCTAATACTCCCTCTCCGAAAGGTGTGAGCCCCGAGTGTATCGAGTTGTGAATTGCTAGTAATTATTTATCATTTGACAAAATATTCTTACTGTCTGTAATCTTTTATAGTTTACCAGACCACACTTAAAACACTACAATTATTTCCTAGAGTAATCTTCAAAACAGAATAGGTTTCTTTTTAATAATAAAAACATTTCTACAGTGTAAGCTTGAGGAGACCAGTGGCGACCGTCTTCCTTTGCAGATTTCATAAGTCAAAAATGATATTTCGCAAAAAAGTATTCCTCCTGCATTTTATCGGCCATTTTTTTTAAATAGGTTACTTTTTAGTAACCCAACAAATGGATTTGTCAAACTCAAATAGCAACCCGTACATTCAGGTTACTATTTAGTAATTGCAATGTGAAACTCGAAAGGGTTGGTAAGCCTGGGCAAGATAAACAAACAAACTTGGGTTATTTGTTTTGAAGTTTCTTTTCTTACTATATTTCCATCGGTGAGTTCTGACATGATATTCATATTTGGGGGCAAATGGTTCGTTTGGTAGATATTAGACCCCTAGGCTCGCATTAGCTATACTACTTCGTCTTGCACCGCGATATATCGGTAAGGTACCCCGATCAACCCAATGCTCTTCTGCTCAGTGTAGTTTGTGAGCTGCTCGGTCCGGGTGGCTTCTCTCACGGCCACAAAAAAAAACCCGGAAAATTACGGGATTCTGAAGGGTGAAGCCCCACAGCTAGGAAGTTAGGAAAGATGAGGTGGGTTTCTTTGGTTAGGTTGGTGTGGTCTTCTAACAACACTTCTGCCGTATGTTTTTTTAGTCATGCCGTTGTTTTATCAACTAAGGTTAGGTTAGGTTTAATTTAGAAATAACACTTTTTACCACATTTGCCCAGACTAAGAGTGACCACTACAAAACCCAGTGAAATTGTGGCATTCATAAAATATTTTTTTTTATGAAAAATCGACAGCTGGTATCTCGTCAATAATTACCGAAACTTGACCTGTATTGTCAAATTTGAAGCTAAAGTGTGAGTGGTGGTTTTTGTGCAAGCAGAAGTGCTATAATGCCAGGTTGACAAAAACAAGCAGCAAGTATATTACGTAAATTGATTTAGGTAATAGTTGAAAAGCGTGTTGCATAGTTATTACAGAGATTTTTTGCATAGTGCCGTATACTGTATTTCAGTTTTGTAATAATTGTTCCAGTGGATTCTAGGTATTACAGTGCCAGCAGGGATGTCACGATTTAAATCAATTATTTAAAAAGGTGATTTAAAGCAAATTTTAAATCAGCAATTTGTTATATATAAAGGGTGTCATTAATGGCATAAATACTGAGTTTTCATCTCCAACCTTCGGGTCCCAATAACCATTGTTGGATCACTAAACAGTAACTCGAACCGAATCCCGTATATTTGGGTTTAAAATAATGAATTACGGTTCGGAGGGCACTTTCGGGATACTAATTATTGTCCCGAATGTTAAAATAAATGGCCTTACGTCTGTTTCTCGAGGTATGAAAGCTTTTATCTTCTATGGAGAAATTTCGTCAGGTAGCTGATAAGGCTTAAACATCTTGAATATTATAAAAAAAACAGTAAATATACTCACTGGTGGTCTTGCTGGTGGCGTCATCCCGAGGTCACTAATCACTTAATCTAGATCTCTAATTAGCACTTAAGTCACACGAACATTCATTAAATATCTCAAAACAGTATCACTCGTTATAGTATCACTTAAAACTGAAGATTTTACCGATATTTTTCCCAATATACAGGTGTTCTTAAATACGTTGAGAAGTTTGTTTACATCACACCTGATCTTGGTATAACACTTTAAACTTTCTCACCTTTCCACATCATAGCTTTTATCTTAATGTTTGTAGCGTAATTATTCTAGCAATGTTTTACAAAGTAGATGTGGGAATTAGTTCATGGTAGCACTAGCAGGTTATGTGGGTCAGCCTGAGAATACGTAGTCGTCCGGCCGACACTGGTTGGTGATGAGGGACGGTCGAGGTGGCACAAGGCACGTTCGTTGTCTTGCTAAATTCTTTAACCTTTAACTTATTTTATCATATCAAGTTTATGTTCCGTTGTAGTAAATTAAAAAAAAATAATATTAATAAAATAAATAAAAGTAAATGGACAAAAGAAATCTATCAGGTGTTATAAATCTTTGTAGTAATGAATATTTAATATCTTAAAGGAAATTATGGGTACAAATTGAACATGTCTAAAAAGTCAAAACTTAGCAGTTCATAAAACATATTTTTGACGATCTAGTAAGACACATATTATAAGCTTTATAAATATAATTTTAATTATAAAACTAATACTGATATTAATATTGTCACAAGCCATAGAAAACGTCGTGTTTATAATATGACTTACTGTAATATGGCAAAGACTGGCAACTGAGAGTGACCAATGCCACAATGCCGTTAATTGTTTAGTGTTTTAACTTTGGGTTACCCGGTGTGAAGAAAACATGGCTAAAGACACATCAGGGATCCCACGGGGTGTTGTCACCAAGTTTCATGAAAATCAGTAAAGCAGTTTTCCGACCGTACGGGCGAGTGTTTTAAGACAAAGGCAAACTCTGTCAATGGACGGCCAGTGTCGTTATTAATATTAATATTTTTTTTTGAGAAACACATCATTTTAAAAAGCAAAATGTGAAAATTGTTTTCGTAATCAACGACCTCTATTAGTAATGTAGCAAGCCTGTATCATAGGCAATTAATCATAACGTTCCTAACACGAACCTATATCACATATGGCACTCAGGGGTGAGTGGGTCGGGGATATGAGGGGGGGGGGGCGCAGGGTGTGGGTTGGAGGTAGTGGGGGTGGATCGTGGGGACGGATGATCGTAGTGGTGGATGAAAGAGCGTCGTAGGCAAGGAAGATACTGCATATCAATCAATCAGAGTACCGTCCTCGTATCGGGCTGTCTTTACCACTCCTCCAAGATTTTTTATCTCTTTGAAGACCATTTCTAATATAATTCGTCCACCTGCCTTCACCTGGCCCCTTACCTTTAACTTTGCCCATTAATATTTCTGTTATTATCCCCCCATCCTTAATTATATGACCGAAGTACCTATAATATTTGTTTTCTGTACATTTCAATTATTTCTCTTGAAGTTTTATAAATCTTAGTAATTCTTCATTCATTTGTTTTCCTGTCAGGAAGATAATAGAGAGGAACTATGACACCATTCCTGTTCGGTACGACTGCCGCGCCGTCTCTAGAGAAGCTCCCTTTTGACAGAAATCTTATGTCATGGTGCTTAAGAGAACGGACTTTATTTTTACCACAGCTATTTATCGCATCAAACCTCCCTCATCATAGAAATCGCGTAGCTGTTTAGAGAACGATCTTGTCTTAAGCGTAGACTCCTGTCATAAGCCATAATTATACGTTTTATTCTCAGCATCTATTGCTTAAATATATATGGAAAGAATCTACATGAGTGTATTTTTACCCAACTCATACCGATGATTTACGGGTTATAGATATTAGACAGAAATCAGGTAAATGACACCAATGTTTGGTTATATATCCTGTACACATATAATTTATTCATGAAAAACGATGTTCCTTAAATTTAAAAATAAGTCATTCCATGTTGTACAGGCGATAACATCATTAAGAGAATTAGGTTATATATACAGGTAAATATATAATAAGTATTATATAAGTTAAGGAAACATCACTAGCAGGCAGAGTGTAAACGCTGTAGTTGTTTTGGCAAACTCTAAAACCGTGTCAGGTGTTTCCTAAGCAGCTTGGTTGCTCCCATTAAACATTTCCTCTCTTCTTGTACCTGCAGGAACGTGGACACCCGACCCTCACCTGCTGCTAGGGGAGTTCGAGGTAGAGACTCCAGTGAGGGACACGAACGCTTACTTCATGACGGACAACAACACCGTCGTCACCGTGCAGGTCGGCACCACCGCCGCACTACGCTGCCAGGTGTTCGACGTGGCAGAGCATGAGACGGTGAGTGAACTATTGCAATGTGAGGGTGTATGAGTTGCTTACCTTATTATGAGGTCTTCTGATTTACTCATCATCTTAAGGGACTGAGCACCTGCCCCCTCCCTCTTACTTTAAAGAGGGAGTGGTTGTAGTCCACGTTACTACCTGGAGTTTCTGTTCTAAATCCCCCGGAGGAAAGAGGAGTCACTGGACTAAAACTCACACTAGAGGGACTTTTAATCATCCTGTTGCTATATATTCCCTTCTATCCATCCGTCTTTCCGTCTGATAGGAAGTAAACACGATAACATGAACAGATAACAATGGATTATCTGACCAAACTTAGCAGGTAGATATCTGGATATTTTCTGTTATCAATTTTTAGACTTATGATTCCTTGTCGTGGAGTGGCGAGGGTCATCCCCATATTTCCTGACTCCCTTGTTATTATAGTCGGTACTTACAAGGAGGTTAACAAGGAACTCTTCTATCTATCAGTAATTATATAAGTGTTTGTAGTATCGTAAGTGTTGCCGCTTCCTTAAATACTTGATTAGTACAAGTGCATTAATTTATTTATCTGATTTTTATCTCGGCATTTTTAGTTTATTTTTAAAACTGTTATTATTTTGTATGTTCAGATTAAGTATAAAGAAAGATTCTACTTCTTACAGGCACTAACATTGTCTTGAGTAGTTTTTTTTTTTACCAAACATTATGTACAAGAATGTGTGTGTGTGTGTATGTGTGTGTGTGTGTGTGTGTGTGTGTGTGTGTGTGTGTGTGTGTGTGTGTGTGTGTGTGTGTGTGTGTGTGTACGCCGTAGAGTAAATCCCATTATACACACGATATCTGGCAAACGCAGTGGTACACAAAATTGAAGCTTGTCAGACATATCAAAATGATGAATTATCTTGTCTGTTTTTTTAAGGGAAATTTAATATATTTTGTATTGTTTGAAAGACAAAATTAAATATTCAATACTGCAGAAAAAGACTTTTATCAATATACATATAACAGTTAACACCACATATTATAAAAGACGGAAACTACACTTATCCATAAGTTAACTTTAAACATTCCATGCTTTACCTAAGTCATGGTCAGTGCGTGTGTGCAATTGCATTAGGTGAAAAAAAAAATGTGGAGTTTTGCAAGACACACTCATAATGTTTCTGGCATGAACGAAAATGTGTATTTCGTGGGAATTATAAAGTGGGGTGAAAAATATGCCTGAAACACCTTTATAATTAATTCTCGTTCTTTAGTTATGTGCCAGTGATTATTATTATTAGTAGTAGTAGTAGTAGTAGTTGTATAGTAGTAGTATATGTGATTGTATAATAATAATAATAACCCACTGGACAGGAAATGGACACTACAGCGACCTTGCATGCACATAGACAATTAAATATCTTTTTTTTTATGCCAAACCTTATATCCACGTTGGTTTAGTGGTCTCGTCTCTTTCCACACCAATTTTATGTGTGTGTGTGTGTGTGTGTGTGTGTGTGTGTGTGTGTGTGTGTGTGTGTGTGTGCGAATTATTTATTCTTCCGTGCTTTGTGATTAAAATTATTAAATATTTGTGTGTGGGTCGTTGAGGGAGATGTACCCTTGTGTGTATTATTATTATTATTATTATTATTATTATTATTATTATTATTATTATTATTATTATTATTATTATTATTATTATTATTATTATTATTATTGTTATGACTAAAAAATTCGTTGTACCAAAATCATGATCGAAAATTGGACGTTTCATGAAATAATTTGGATATCATCTTCCACATTTTTGTTTTGTCAAATTAGAATGTTTATATCAATTTATATTTTATTATCAATTATTCATTCGCGAGTTGATTACACTTTCTTAGTGAGGATACCTATTAGCCAGTTACCTAATGCGAAAACACATTCCATAATTTTGCATATTTTAGCTGATACGAAGCGTCGGAATTTCTCAGTTTATGCAGAAGGAACGTGTTACTGATAATGACTTGTGCCAACTCTAGTCTGGGAGTTTATTCCTGAGGGAGGGAGCTTCAGGAAGGTAAGTTAGGATATGTGTTTTGTGAACTTTAGACACACACACACACACACACACACACACACACACACACACACACACACACACACACACACACACACACACGCACACACACATCTCTTCTTTGGTGAAACTATTATATTCGACATAGGATAGCTCAAGTATGCCTTGTTTCCCTTTAGCTCTTCCATTCTACCTCTTGGATCTTAATGGTGAGCTGATCTTATCTTATAACGAATTCAACCTCTTAATATCCTCTTCAGCAGCAACACTGACACCTAACCCGGAGTTAATCATTTAATTTAATCGTGTCGACTCGTCTGGGTATATAATGTGTGTCTTTAATCGATAAGTTCCAGGATTTTAATATCTTTTGCAGGAACTATTTATCAGCCGTGGTGCCCAGGTTCGGGTCGTGGGATTCTCAGTTGGGTCACGAACGGTCTTTGAATTTGATGTTTTAAATCAGCTTTACATAAACAAATATTAGTGTGCAGTGCTGGGGTTAAACATATTGTCCCATAAATAGTTATTGTTCAAATACATTAAGTTTAGAGGTTTTATTGATAATTAGCGTGCGTGGGTGTGTGCGTGTGTAAATCCAGTAAGCGTCCAACACAAGTTTTGATGAAGAGGCTCCATGTCAGCTAATTTGTTAGGGGGGTGGGGGGGATGGGGCTTTTCTTATAAGTGTATACGTTATGTCACCGTGGATCTTTTTTTTTTATAATAATTATCGACTACACACGAAGACCTGCACTGTGCTTCCTCCATCAACGGTTAGCCCTGATTGATGGGGGACTTGACCTGACCTGACCTGACCTAACCTAACATAACCTAACCTAACCTAACCTAACCAAACCTAACCTCAATGTTGCTGGCCAGTTCTGGAGGGGAAGTCAGAGATGGGAGGGAGAGACAGGCAGAGTGATCGTGTAGAGTCACTGAGTTACATGGAGAGAGTTGAATTAAACGTAGTATTTGACTGTGGCGAATATTTCCCGGTTTTATTTCAGTAGGAATATTATAGACCAATAACAAACTGATAATGTTGATGACTAAAAACTGATCATAGGAAAAACAGATATATTCCTCACGTGCAAAATACACTCATCAGTCAGCTCGGTCATGTCGGTACAGATTGGATTTTTGCTGACTCAAATAAAACCAAAACAAAACCGAAGTCACTTAACAAAACCAAAACGAATTCAGCTTCTATTTATTTTTTATGGGCATCAAACTCACATTACAAAGCGGGGAAAAAAATGTCAGGAAACACGAGCATTGAGCTGACTAACCCAGCCAAAAATAATTTCACTCAAGAGAACCTAAACGAAGCCAAAATACAGGTTTAATGCGTCGTGTGTGTTGTAGATGAAAGGCTTGTGTGTTACAAAGCAGATATGCGCATAAATTTGAATTTTACGGTTTCCCGAGTTTTAGATAAAAAAAAAAGGTGTTGGAGTCACAGATCTGCCGTAATATATAACACCAATGTAAAATAAGACTCCATCATCCTTCTCTCTGAAAGAATTAGTTTTTGCTTTAATTATATGAAGATAAACTATGATTTAAAATAATATCTCCTCCTATAAAGCTTTCCACGTATGTTAAATTTCTATATCAGAGCCTCTGTGTTTTACCTGCAAAATTTTATAACGAAAAAAAAACAAGAATAAACTAGACTGTAATATAGGAGACAGGAATTCAGTGTGTCCACTTTATTACATGGAAGAATTTAATGTAATTTTAGGTCTGATGACATTTTCGTGTCTTACTACGGTACATAAACATACGCTCATTTCTTCTATACTATAATTAAATATATTTGTTTATATCACTGTACCCTTCATCTATTTACGGTTCAGCTATAATGTTGTCATGACATAAACGAAGGAGAAGTCTGATAGCGTCGAACGTGAATCAGGTGACGTAAGCCGAAGTGACGTCAGAGAATGTTATCGTCTCTGACCTCTCACCGTCCACCAGCAAATCACAGGAAGCTGAGCGCGCAGTTCAAAACTCTTCGATGATAGTAGAATAAGTCTTGGCGGCGAAAAGTTTCTCAACAGGTGTGGAAAAAAGTCGATTTAAGTCCCACTAACCAAAAACCATTAGCTGCTACCTTTGTCGAGTTAAGTGCTTTGAGAACTTAGCCATTTTTTGAGCACCATTTTTTCCCGTCTCTGGTGGGCAATTTCGAGGTTTAAACCAGAGTTCTGACCCAGCAGCAACACATTTTGGAGATGTCATGAGTAGGTACAGTACTTTCTATCCAGGGAATAAAACCTTTTGTGTTCGATACTCAGAATAAACCCTCTAGGCTCCTGCTCTCCGTGACTACACCACCAGCGGCTCGATCATAATAGGAGTTTTGCCCACACGTCAGGATTCAAATTAAGACCGAGCCAATCCAGAGATCCACACATAACATTTATTTGTGGAAAGAAAAATAATGTTGAGAGAAATATTGAAGATCAGGTGGTACAGGTCACTTAAATAATCCCAGGAGGGGGAACTACAGAGAGTAATGGGAATAACAACTTTCACAATGGTAGTGCTGGTGATAGTGGTGGTGGTAGAAGACATTGTGGTGGCGATTGTAATAATGGTGGTGGTGGTGATGATGGAAGGCACTATGATAATGATGATGGTGGTGGTGATAGTACTGATGATGGAGATAGTGGTTGCAATATTCCCGGCTATAAATAAACAAACACTGGATTATATGTGTTACAATAACAGAAAAATATTTTCCCCGAGTTTACTGTATGAACCAATCATATTAATGACGAGTTCTGGATCTGACGGTAAACAACTTTTTCCTATTTTTAAAGACAGTTTGATGCTGACAGTGTGTGTGTGTGTGTGTGTGTGTATGTGTGTGTGTGTGTGTGTGTGTGTGTGTGTGTGTGTGTGTGTGTGTGTGTGTGTGTGTGTGTGTGTGTGTGTGTGTGTGTGTGTGTGTGTGTGTGTGTGTGTGTGTGTGTGTGTCTGTGCACCCCCTCTCCCCCCCCACCACCACCAAAGCCTTTCTTGATGCATTTTTCTCCTCACCTCAGCTGAACGTCACATTCATCACTCTCTCCTGTCCTAGATATCCTCTCCCATCCTTCACTCCTCCCTACGTCAGTCTCACCCTTCCCTCGGTTACTCTCACTATGTCTATCTTAGGTAGAGTTACCTCCACTTGTGTATGACTGTCTTAGCTGAATTTACCCCTCTATGATGTTTGTAATGTGTGTGTGTGTGTGTGTGTGTGTGTGTGTGTGTGTGTGTTATGTTCCCTCCTTTATCGCACCTCCATCAGGGACCTATTCTCTACAGGAGGTCGGTCTAAAATGCCTCTGGGCCGCCCATTGATTCATATCTCATTTGCCTTGTTAATTCACCTTATCTCTCTTCCCTGTTCTCACTTTACGGTCATGTGACACGCGGGATGCTCTGGTGGCTGCTGACTGACATATGGAGCTTCATAGGGAGATATAACGTGGTAAAGGGTCGGGTTTTTCCATGTTCACCTGTGTGTGTGTGTGTGTGTGTGTGTGTGTGTGTGTGTGTGTGTGTGTGTGTGTGTGTGTGTGTGTGTGTGTGTGTTGGTCATGAGCGATAAGACAGTGTTAGCTTGTGTCAGATATGGTGTCTTACAATAACAAATAATGAATTACAAGGTGTTAACATATGTACCCGTGTGGTTTGATTAGTACGTTCGCCTGTATGTTAACTATTAGCTTCACCAGTGTGTTAACTACCTGGTTCACCTGGGTTAACTAATGTGTTGTTCATTTGTGTGTTCACTCAGGTATCGTGGATAAGAAGGCGAGACCATCACATCATCACGGTGGGCGCTAATACCTACTCCAACGACGAACGCTTCCAGGTAACCTTCTCGGAGAAGACACAGGTAAGCCTCGCCTTTTTAACGCCCCTTGTGCTACCTAGATATCAGCACCTGGGTGGGTGCTGGTACCTAGTGGCTGGTACTTGTGGGTGCTGGTACAGTCTCACCTAGAAGTTTGTTAACTCTACCAGCCAGCTGTTGCTGCACTGCCTGCTGCAGATTTATGAACTTGAGTCTGTTACTTCTAACCTTTAGAGTCATTCGTATCGGTTCCATGTTCTGGTTGGTACCGAGACAGTTTCATACAACTGAAGCAAGCAGTACAGCAATAGATGGCTGGGAGAGTTAACGAACTTTTGGGTGAGACTGTAACTCGGAGCTGGTATTTAGGTGGTGTTGATAGCTCTTGGCTGACACCTGCGCTCTAAGATGTTTGTTTAAGTACGGTATAGTAGATAAAACTATACAATTTCTCTTGTTATCTCTCTTTTTTTGTTTTCCTGCTCCCCTTCTCTCCCATTCTCTTTCCCTTTATATAAAAACTCGCATCTAAAAATAATGAACAAACACCTCACCCCCTCATCCCCTGACCACCCCCTAAAAACTTACCAATGAGAACCAAAGTATTGCTAATTTATTCCCGAAAATTAATGTGGTTCGCAATTCACCTGCAGCAAGAGCGGGCGTGAAAAACCCTCCTCAAATATTGGCCTAGACTGCTGCCCCCTTGTGTATGACAAACACACGAAATGATGTGTAAATAGAGATGCATCCATGAACCGGGCGGGGAATAAAAAAAGTGTAAGATTAATCTCTGTGATGTTTACATTAAGTGGTGTTTAATAAAGGATCAGTGTGTGTGGTCGGTATACACACACGTTATTATTATAATTAAAAGCGCATGTTAGATTAACTTTTGTTTCCGATGCAAAATGGTGAGGTTGAGTAATTTTGGCAACGAGTAAATGAGAGATGATTGCTGTAATAATGGTAATAGATAGCAATAATAAACTACTACTATTACTTTTTTTTAAACGTGGCCTCCAGCCTCCCCCAATAGCCACACCTTCGCCACCATTTTATTACCTTAATATTAAATATCCTAATATATAAGTAGCTATCCTAGCTGTGGTGAATTAGTTGAGCCGTAGATCTATGCGGCATTCAGTGACTGTAGCCTCATAGTCAATATCTGCAGCTGCTATCGGCTTTGGGGCCGAAGCTCTCGTTCTCCTGAGGCAGAGCAAAGCCGACCGAAGGAGAGAGAAGGACAGTCGACATCTCATCCAGGCTGTAACACAACTTCTGGGCTGCTGCTTCTGTTCGGAGATCACCTCCGCGAGTCTGGCGTAAAAGCATCTTGCACTTGGTCCCATCGCACCAGAGGTTGTGACCACTAGAGGAGTGAAGCTGCCTTGATCAATGTTCTGAATCCTCTCCCCGTATCCCCTTATCTTGTCGTTCTCGTCCCTCCTGTGTGCAGCATCGAGGGCTAAGTTACGGTGACATGCGGCCATGGGATAAAAAATCCTGATGTTGAAGGAGGCTCGCTGTCCCCGCGTCCAGAATCCTCGACCACTGACGTCAACACGGGCTTCGTTGGATGTGTTTGAAGTCCTATGTTGGAAGATCTCACAGTCCAATGGAAGGAGGGTCGGTTCTACAATGACATCACGGCAGATTTCCTTCAACATATTTGCTGTGAGATCCCTTACTTCGTCATGCCTCATGCATATGAAGCCCCCTTTCTTGCACACCATGGCGTGATCGACGTCGTAGGAAGAGCCACACACGCATTGGGAGGGCAAACCTTCTTCTGGCCTACCGTACCTTAGAGCATTGGCATCTGTAAATTCTTGTTTATTGAGACTGAAACCATTTGCCCTTATCATTAACGTAGTTTTAACCAGTTCGCGGCGCCCACCTCCTGCGCTATAGCTACTTTTTTTCTTCAAATTCTCTGGAACTTGCAGCAACAGTTGCTGCAACTTATCACTTTGGCCATGCTGTCGTTCTGTCGTAATGGACCTTCGAATCTTGTTTACTTCACTGGTATCCAAATCCCCTGTTGCGTTCTGAGCTATTATGTGGTCCGTGAGGGCTGCCGTGAGCTTAACTGATTTTTTATGTTCGGTGGCAGCAATCTCCTCTGGATTGGTCAGTCCCATTCCTCCCAGTCTCGGTGGTAGTGCAAGGAGTGATCTTTCTGCTGGGGTTAAGTGAGGGTGTTTCACTAGTTTGGGAATGAAATTGACGCTAATAGCTTCTTCCAGAGGGTGGAGGAGGGGTCCGATATCAGGGATAGTGCGCATCAGGTAGTTCCAGCGATGCTTGACTCCATGGGTGAATGCTGCAAAAGCCGCATGTGGCTCTGTGTTAGCAATCTCAGACAGAGCTTCGATTTCCCTAACCCACTCATTCACCTTTACCGTTACGTACTCGGTCTTGAAGTCCGTCGTGTTAATTACTGCGCCTAGGTGCCTTTGGCTATCCTTTGTTATTTTTATGACACTTCCAACGAACACCTCCATTGCCCGGTCATAATGTTCTGGCTTCACAATGAGGAAAGACTTGCTGGAGTTTGGGTGGTACCCTATTTGTGGGCCTCGAGACGTTACCAAGTCCCACCACTTTTTGATGTCCTCCACTTTTCCTGCTCCTGTAAGGTCATCAGCGTACGCCACTTGCTTGACCTCAGTTGTTTCAAATTTTATTGTGTGTTGGAGCACGGATAGGCCTATTGCGTACATTGCCATTGCAACAGGGTCCCCCTGCGTTGCTCCCTCTGTTGACTGTATGATGGTATCCCCTCTTAGAGCCTTGTTGTTTACTATATAAAGGTCTGATGGATTCCTATAGGCGTTTTCAACATAAATTGCAAAGCTTGGACACTTGATCTTGATGTTGTGCAGTGCGGCCGTGCGGTTAAGTATGTTGGATGCATTTGAAGCGTCCACCAGGAGAACGGCCTCACAATCGCGCTGCTCAAATATCGTTGTCATGGCGTGAATGGCAGCTTCCCCTCCAGCTTGTTGGCCAGCACAAACTTGCAGGTTCCCTGCTGTTGCCCTGACATCATCCTTTACCACCTCCATTATGCATTTTCCGATGATCCGCCTCAGCACTTCCCCCACTCCTATAGGCCTACATCCTGGATTCTTATCCAGGGGAATGAGGCGGCAGGCTGTCAGAGCATGGAGGTGTTGGCAGCACGAGGATGCCAGCTTTCTTGCAAGGGCCGCAATGGCCGTGCAGAGATCACTTGCTCCGGGGCCAAACTTGTTAGTGCTGAGGATGACTCCCCAACCGTTTGTATCCAGACCTAAAGGGCCTGCACCTCTCTGAGTCTTCAGTGCCTTTTTCCACACCATCCCTCCTGTTATTTTCTCGAACTCCTTCTCCTAATAACAATAATAATAATAATAATAATAATAATAATAATAATAATAATAATAATAATAATAATAATAATAATAATAATAACAATAATAACAATAATAACAAAAGCAGCAATAACAAAAACCCTCACTAAGTCAAGCTTCAAAATACTATGAATAAAATAATTACTTACCATCCCATTATAAAAATAAAATGCCACGATGCCAAAATATTCACACAACTCCATTACTGAAGATCATGGGTCATGGGTCACAGACACGAGGGAGTGTATATATAGTAAATATTGTCAAGAGATAGCTGTATGTATCGTGGTGACCCTTAATATCTCAAGGGTTGTTTTTCTCATCCCAGTCTCACGTTACTTAACTTACTAATGGATATCTTCTCAGGTGAGGGATGTTGTATTTAGGTGCTAATGATTAGTTCCTCGTTAACATTACCATAATACTTATAATAAATGTTATCAGCTCTTTGAGTCCATTGTTATCTGACTCAAGGAATAAGTTAAAAAGGGGGTTAAAAAGGCTTCGTACTCAATAGGGGTTAAGATAAGTTACTCATTGGACTAAACAAGGGTGACTGTGAGTTCGCTATTGGCTGCGTTATGAAGCACAAAAATCACTAAATAAACATTCCTTCTATGACGAATAAAAAAAACCATCCTAGCGTCAGATGAGGAGCGTCGTGTATTGGGTCGACTAAACTCTGCCCAAAATATACTACGTTTTGTTTTTAACATTGAAGTCCTTGTAACTAAATAACGCGGTACATTATATTAATAATTGTAATAGACAGCTTTCTCTCCCCCTAAGTGGTCGCTGAGTGTTTTGTTGTTATCCATTAAGTGCATTCCAATTTTATTTCATTGTTCATTAATCACGTTCATTATCGTCCCTTTATATATGTATGTGTCTCCCCTCGCTGATATCTTTATGCTCTCGGGTCTCTTATTTGTATCCTCTTGTGTTAATAAACGCTATATCAGCAGAAACTATTTTACCTGGAAGCCTTTGGTGTTGACCTTGTCTGGCCGCCACATCCACTACCCTTGTCTAATTCACCTGTTTTATTGTCTTTGCCATGTATTAGTGTCTAGTTCCCTTGTTTGTCCAATACTGTACCTTTGTCTAATTCCATCTAATCATCTACATTCCCCTTCCCTTCTCACAGTGCTGGGTGTTCGTTAGTACACCTGTCTTTTCTGTTGGTTCCCACACAAAAGAAAATTAACTTTCAGTGGTCGCATCTCTGTCGCTTCACACATGTTAATGATCCCTATGTAGTGTGGTGTAGGTCTGGGGTGTGTCAGCCAGGCCACTTATGATTCTAGTTTGACAGGTTCAGATTAAAGGCCATGTGTTGACTGATGAAAGAGGAACGAGGGGAAAATATTAGCTTATCTCTGAGTGTGTGTGTGTGTGTTTGTCCTTGTAATATATCCCCTGCTGATAAACAAGCGTTAGTTGCCGACTAGGGGAGAGTTTTTAATCTTTTTTTTTTAACTAGAAGGCCGGGCGTGTTATAACGAGTGTATAAATTCACCATTATTGACAAAAGACGCGATGGAAGCAGATCTACAGTATGCTAAGCAACCAAACCCTAATTAACCTAACATTATATAACTGAACCTTAATTTAGATTAACCAAATCTCAAACTACCTCAACCTGCACCTAACCTAACGTAACCTCAACTAACCTAGTCTAACCTAACCTAACACACTCGCGTTATGTTTTGTTTATAATCTGCATCACACTCTGCGTATTAAGGTCCGTTTATTTTGTACAAAGACTTTACCAAATGGCTCTCTAGCAAATATAAATTGAGAACCGTACCAGATTATGTACCCATTTCCGTAAAAATAGGGGATTCGAACCCAAAGCAGAGAGGTGTTCGACCCCAACAAACACAATAATATATACGTTTATAACACTATCGCGCTGTTCTGTTCCCACTGGGAGTCGCGCCACCTAACTGTTACTGAATAATTTTTTTACAGCGGGAAAAACACATTTCATCCCTCGTGTTAGTTTAAATTGAAAATACTGGGAAAAACCAGAGTAGTGACTGTTCATTTGTCGAGCTTGGAGTCAAATGTATTAGGCGAGATTTGTTGTAATCTAACTCTCAGCTGTGACAGATTTAATATGTATCGAATTGGTGTCGATTGTTTTTACTCCAGTTCGCTTGAAGTGATCAACATGACTTACACTCGGGAAAAGTTACTGGAAATGGACAGTGTTAAAAAAAAACAGAAACATGGAGGGAAAAATAGAAGTACTCGTGTAACCTCCGCAATAGAGTAGCGGCAAGAGTGTTGTGTTACAGAGTTTTTTGTTGACACCAGATAATACGCGGTGAAAAGGTTGGTCGCCTCAACCACCCACAGCTAAATTATCCCCCAGAATTCAACTCTTAGGTGACAATTGTTGCCTGACTGTCAGTCTGTCTTCCATAGAGACATCATTGTACCTGTAGCTTAGTCACAGATCTGTACCTGTAATATTAAAAATTAAAATAACTTTTTATAGCTCACATCTTTACTCTCGTGTTGATGCAATTTCTCGTTTGGCTTATAATATGAATAGATTTTTTCTTCAGAACTGACTAAATATATTGGTAAAGGGTAATCACTGTTATGTCTATAGGATCAATACCTAGAGCAGAGACTGTGTTTGGTCACTCCATTATAGAAGGTCAAAGGTTACAGGTCACCAATGAAATAAACTATAACTGAGGGATTTAATGGCATGTGACTGGTGAGTTTAGCAATATGTGTCACCTTTCTCTTAAATTTATTCGTTTTTATTTCTTTTTCTCTCCTCGTGCCTTCATCACGCTCAGGATTGGACGCTGCATGTTCGCTACGCCCAAACTCATGACGCTGGGATCTACGAGTGTCAGCTGTCAGCCCACCCTCCCATGGGAGTCTTTACCACGCTTAATGTTATCGGTGAGTAGCTGACGTAGAGACCAAAAACCAATAGTCCAAGGCAGTGACGCAGAGAATCCAGACACTACTAATGAGCTTAAAGGTGTTAATACAAAGGTCTCTGACGCTAGCAATAAGTTCAAGACGATGTATTTGAGGTCATGAGTTGTTATTTAGTGTATACAGAGTACAGATTTGGAAATACCGTATGAGTTTTGAGTGCTAATTATTTTCCAGTCTTTGTGTGTACGGCTGACACGCTGAGTGGTGGATGTAACTGATGTAACCATAGGTAAATATATATATGTGTGTGTGTGTGTGTGTGTGTGTGTGTGTGTGTGTGTGTGTGACGGCATTATGCAGCTCTCAGTGTGCATGACAATAACACATGTATGTAAATGTGACCATCAGAGGCGGTGGCGGAGATCGGGGGCGGGCCTGAGCGATACGTCCAGATTGGCAGCTCCGTCCAGCTCACCTGCACCCTCAAACACTTCACGGAGCCGCCCACCTACGTCTTCTGGTTCCACGCCGAACACATGGTCAACTACGACTCCAACAACCGAGTAAGATAGGGTGGCCCTTGTGGTCTCTGTAGCTTTTAACTTTGGCCGTAATTAGATACTAAGACTCCCTATCGGATGTACTTATACTTAATAACACAAGTAACTCACTTATATCAACCTCTCACTTAACACACTACTAACTCTTCACTAGCTTTCTATCAGATCACAAGTTAATGTATTTCCTATCCACTCTATACACCAGACTACCATTCATTAAGTCAGACACTGAATAATTGTTAGTGTAATTTAGTTTAGAATGAAATAAGATTGACATATAGAAAGAGACATAAAGAGATATATAGCTAAACAGGTAAATGGATAGACAGAGAATCGATAATTAGCTTAGAGAGAGAGAGAGAGAGAGAGAGAGAGAGAGAGAGAGAGAGAGAGAGAGAGAGAGAGAGAGAGAGAGAGAGAGAGAGAGACTCCTCGCCTCTGCCGAGTAAATCCAAGGCGTGTGGGCAGAACGTGGCTGCGGTAGGATCAGAGCTGACTTTGGGCGGGATCAGAGCTGACTGTGGGCGGAATCAAAGCTGACTGTGGGCGGGATCAGAGGTGACTGTGGGCGGAATCAAAGCTGACTGTGGGCGGATCAGAGCTGACTGTAGGGATGAGAGCTGACTGTGAGCGGGATGAGAGCTGACTGTAGGCGGGATCAGAACTGACTGTGAGCGGGATGAGAGCTGACTGTGGGCGGGATCAGAGCTGACTGTAGGCGGGATGAGAGCTGACTGTGAGCGGGATCAGAGCTGACTGTGGGCGGGATCAGAGCTGACTGTGGGCGGGAGATTGCTCTTCTTCCCAACAATAGTAACTGGAGTAAGAAATCTTGTCCCAGAGGAGGTTGATGGCACTCTTGGTGTGGCCTATCTGAGTCACCTCCCCCACCACCCACGACCACAATAGACTCAGGTCAGGTCGTATCTCCCTGAAGGCCTCACTAAGTAGGCCATACCTCCTCCAACACGACCTCCAGTTTCCTTTTGTTCCCAGTCTCTATTTCCTTCAGCTTTCCTGTATTGGTACCTTATGAGTCCTTGGTCTGCCAGTGTTAGGTTTCTGGTCGATGGTTAAGGTCGTAAATATTCTTCAGCTTTGAGGTCGCGGTTCTTGGGGTAGAAGGAAGAGGGGTGTTGGTGACAGTGGCGAGGGGGTTTGCGTCTCTCCCTTATCTCTCCGCCTTTCTCTGACTTGTCTCTTTAGCTTATCACTTGTCTCGCTATTTCATTGTTTATCTGTGTGTGTGTGTGTGTGTGTTCTGTCTTTTTATTATCTATTCATGATTTTTTTTGTTCTATCGTTTCTTCTTTATCGTTTCAATTTTCCCTTCTGTTTCATTGTTTGTTTATCTGACCGTCTCTCTCTCTCTCTCTCTCTTGCAAGATGGGTGAGAGCCAGCTGCCTCTTTGTATATCTCCCTTCCACACAGTGTACCAACATATTCTCTAACCTGCAGATAACGGTGGTGAATAGCGTGGGTGAGAGCGAACTGAGGATCTCACAGGTGACCAAGGCAGACAGCGGGAACTACACCTGTCAGCCTGCTAATGCCCGCCCTGCCTCCGTCTCCCTCCACATTATTACAGGTAAGTTTTTTTTTTACTCTTTTTCTTCATCTTCTTGTTATTCGCTGTTGTCCTCTTCTTCTTCTCTGTATTATCGTTGTCCTTCTTCTTCCTCTCCTCCTTTTTACTCCTCTTCTTCGTCTGTGTTTTATTAATCATACTTTAGTTGAAGGGTTCGTGGCCACACTAGTTTTCCTTCTCCAAATTTCTCGGGCCTCCTCTCTCTCTTTTTATTTTTTCACTTCCATCCATCTTACACCCTTTTCAATTACATCTCTCCGTCCTATCATTTATCACCTAAGTCGCTCATCCAACCTTTCCTCATTTCTCTTCACTATTTCAGTTTTATTTCTGTAGTATGAACCATTTTCTCAGATTTTTCCTCATGGCTACACCTCACTAGTGTCTGACTGCTGTGTTTATAACGCTATGAACTTACGCATTAATTATTAAAACATGACATTTCATAAGAAGTTAATAGCGTTTGTGATTTAAGTGATATTTTATTCACAGGCGAGACTCCGGCGGCCATGCAGCGGGCCAGTGCCACCGAGGTACAGTACCGCCTCAGTATGGCCCTCATATCCTCCCTGGTGGCACTCATCGCCTTGTAGGAACTGCAGGTGATCCTTGACCTTCACCAAGTATCTGACCTCGTTGTAGAATCCGAGTGTCAGTCTTTCCAGTTCTAGGTGTTGCCCTGCGGTGATTGGTTACCGAAGATTGGGACTGACCCGAGGCAAGGGATAGTGAGCCACGTTTCTCTCTCCAGGAGGACCCGGACACTGTCGTGGCATCTACAGTGCTATTTCATGGATCAACAGGATTTCGGCAGTTCACCAATGTCTTGCCATCGATAAAGCAGATACGGACATCGTTGGGATCACAATAAAAGGAAAATAATACTGTTTGAGTCCTCACCTGTGAATTAAAACACGGTAGTGACTTCGTATCATCAACGTTGTGTTGTTATGAAACTAAAAAAAGAAAAACAAACGATGTTAACATTCCTTACCTGTGGATGATCGCATGGCAGGAGAGATGAGTTTTGGAGAATGGGTTATGAAATACGTACCTGAGATGGATGACTGAAACAAGTGGAACAGGTATCAGTTTACCTGAGATACTACAGGTGTTAAGTGGCTGTTAAGAGTCATCTTCCTCCCCCACGATCATGTGAACATGCACTAATGTTTCCCATCACCAGGGAGAGGTCAAGATGCTGAAGGTGGTTTTCGTCTTTACCAACAAAAGTGTTAAACGCTAGTAAACCATTCGACACGATCAGTAAGTTCCACGCTGTGCTGGATATGTTATTTCGCCATGATAAAAGTGTCAGCACTGGTAACAATATCGGTGTGTGCCATTTGGTCGTATAAAGATATGATGTTAGTGTGCTGTGGGGTCCTCGTGTTAACCAGTCAGTGTTATATGTTATCGATGGCGTGTGTTTAAATGTGGATGAGACTCAGAGCAATGATATAAAACAACAGAGAAGCACCAGTCAGCCTTGTCTCCACCCAAGACCTGAGTCAACCCAAGATGTAATATTTAGCAGTGAAGATACGAGACGCCAAACTAAACGCAGCGGATCATATACAACATCTAACCTGTGTTTTCATCTTAAGAAAAGCATATTCTCTTAAGTGAAACATTATTTAACATCCATAAGCTGTATTAGGTCCAACGATATTCAAACTCATAACATAATTCTTCCTCTTCAATCAGCAGTTGTAGGTAAATATATCAGGATTCTAGAGACATTTTAGTGAATAGTATAAGTACATGATAAATGAAAAAGTAAAATATTAAATATTTAAGACACTGTACGTTGATTATCTGCCAAATAGGTGTAGCAGGAGAGCTATTAAGGTTGACTACCTTCAGGGGGTTAGAGTAACAGGTAAGGCGTGGGAAGGTCACCTGGGTTGGCGGTAATATACCCGGCCATGGTAGAGTGCGTCTCTCTTAACACTGACTTAGAAGACGAACATCTTTACCCCAGCCTTCAACCTAAACATCTTCACATAGATAAAATCCCCCAACAAACATGATAAACCACAAAACAAAATAATTAATTCCTCAATACTGAACAATTAATAAAACAAATGACAAACTTAAAACGTAGAGGTAAAAGATAAAATGTATTTTTCTTAGTTTATTCCTTTAAAAAAAATACAATATATAAATCTTTCTTCCACGGAGATAAAGTAAAATCAACAAAGTGTCATCCAGCATCATGATAAACAATAGCGCCATCTCAGCTGCCAGGGCTCAAGAGTGGAGTGGCGCGACCCTCTCCTCACCACCTCTCTCTCTCACACTTAATATTTTTTTCCCTGCTGGTGACAATGTTCTCGAGCTCAGGTGAGAGAGCTTCACCTGTCGCACCTCTTACATGATGCTGTGAAAGGAGGTCTTCTCTAGTGCCCCTTTCCGTCTCGTATAAGTCAGTTTTATATTCTTATTTCTTCGTCATTCTTTGTGTCTCCTTTAGCTCTGTCTCTTGTTCCTTTATATCCCTCTCCTGTTTCTGTCTGTGTGTGTCCTTCTACTCCCCTTGTTGCCCTCTTCTCCCTTCTTCTTTCTTCGAATATTTTTACGTCTCCAGTAGAACCTCTATTTGTCTCTCTCTTTCTCAGTTTTATCAAAGGACTGAAGTGAGATTCAAGTTAACCTATATAACACTAAACAAAACTTTATTATTCTCATACCAAAGACGAAGTCGTGATGTGATTCCTTTCACGCACACACACACACACACACACACACACACACACACACACACACACATACACACACACACACACACACACACACACACTTTTCGCCATAAAACAAAGAGAGAAAGTCGTTTGGTTTCTGATTAGTGTGTGTTTGAGACAAGTATTTTGTTCCCCATGAAAAGCTGATGGTAAGACTTGACAAGACCACTGAGGCACACCAGGATGAAGAGACTCGTGTGTTGAGCCTCTGTCACTCAGGTTGTTGTGATGGACTTGCCCTCGTGTGTGTCCGGCGTGTGGAGTGAGTCACTTGTACAAAGCCAGTGGTGAAATCTTGAAAAACCTTGTCCAGGGGCACCTGCTGGAGAGACACGTTCATGGAACCCCCAGATGTTTTCCACCAGTTCCTGGAATGTGTATTTTTGTCCATATAAAACTTATTCAATTGTGTACATTTGTTCCATAAAGAATACATATTATATCGTGTATATTTGAGGTATGGAGACAGAGAGTATTATGATTGTTGTTGATGACTATATATATATATCAAGTTCGTATTGCTGTGACTGGTGAGAACAAAGTTAGTGTGACTGTTGGCACGATTTAGAGAGCAGGAGAAGCTTACGAGGGACATTTATAGCTAATGTAAATATTGAGTCGTGACTTCGACTGACCTGTGACTCCTGGCAATGGATAGGGTGACACAGGTGTTTACCAGGTGTTTTCCCACTCAGTGATTTCCAAAGCTCATTATTTATTGAACGTTACGTGTTATATTTGTCATAGGTTACTTCTCCTCTGGATACGTTAACTAATAATGAATGCTTGTTTTCACGATTATTCTCGAAAAAATTAAAAAATTGCCATGTTAACGGATATATACATACATATATATATATATATATATATATATATATATATATATATATATATATATATATATATATATATATATATATATATATATATATATATATATATATATATATATATATATATATATATTGTTCATTTCATTATGTATTATTTACCCATCTAAGAGTGTACATAAGGGGTTATCGGTAAGCTTGAGCGGCAGATCTTTATAAGTTTCTGGTGAGTGGATAGTTGTTATATTTTCATTAATGACTTACCTTAGATAAACTTTAGAAAACAGCTATATTGTAAAATAAACCTTGTATACTAATGTCCGTATTTGTATGAGAAATAAATATATTTTCAAATAAAATACGAGGTATTTTTCACCTGATTAACCATAAATTTGATAAAATATAACAAACAACAAACATTATGTTACACATGCCAACTGGGTACTAATATTACCTATGTGTGTAACTATGCCATTAAGCCTTTAAAGTTGCTTCTGAATAAACTACATCAATCTTTTTGCCTTGTCTTTCTGGTTTTATCTATATTTTTTTCTTCTTTGTCTTTATGTTTCTATGTCTCTTTTACTTTATATATACATCTCTTTCTCTCTCTCACTGACACCTGACTAGAGAAGTAGAGAGTTCGAACGTGGAAAGACTTGGGCAGGTAAGGTCACACCTAGAGTTAGTTTAGGGTGAAATAGAGACGGGGAAGGAGGGGGTGGAGGGGAAGGAAGGGTGGAGGGGAAGGAAGGGAGGAGGGGGAAGGGGGGGGTTCTTCCACTACACCAAGATCAATACGTAATTGTGTCTTTCTTCAGGAGGTTAAAGGTAGCATTTAACCAGAGCATCGGCAGCTACTACTAAAGCGTCTTAACCTCTGACTTGTGTTGAAAGGTTCGTGGCCTCCTATGTATCTTGTGTTTAAGGGTTCGTGTTCTCCTATGTATCTTGTGTTTAAGGGTTCGTGTTCTCCTATGTATCTTGTGTTTAAGGGTTCGTGTCCTCCTATGTATACTGTGTTTAAGGGTTCGTGTCCTCCTATGTATCTTGTGTTTAAAGGTTCGTGTCCTCCTATGTATCTTGTGTTTAAGGGTTCGTGTCCTCCTATGTATCTTGTGTACAAGGATTCGTGCCTAAAAGGTTCATATATTTAAATGTTGAATATAAAACAACTTTCAACAAAGAGTTCAGTTTATATATCCTCGCTACTGACACCAGGAGGCATATATGTTCATCTTCCTGTCTGTCTGTCAGCAGCTATAACTCAGGAACAGACAAACGCTGAAGCTCTAAATGTGTTTAATATTTCCCTCGTGTTAAAGTCAGGTCAGGATAATGATATATATATATATATATATATATATATTTATATATATATATAATGAGGGAGGTTAAGGCTGACCTCAGTATTATATCAGGAAGGTTAAAGCTGACCCCAGTATTAAATGAGGGGGTTAAGGCTTCAGAAGTTGTCGATGGAAGTCAGCGGTCAAGGTTAAATTTGGGTGAGGTTATGCAGGATAGACCTAACCCGAGTGAAGCCTGACAATTTCGCGAGTAAATAAAATAATAAAGTAACAGAGTAAATAAAGTAATAAAGTAAAATAGAGTAAAAGTAAATAAAGTAATAGAATAAAAGAATAAAGTAATAGAATAAAAGAATAAAGTAACAGAATAACAATAGAGTAAATAAAGAAATAGAGGAAATTTTCTTTAGTAGTCAAGATGAGAAAATAAAGTTTTTTCTCCAGGTCTTAAGGATAAATTTCCAAATTTTTATTAAGTATATTTGATCTAATGATCACATCCCAGCTATGTCCTTTTATGTTTTATATTTGATGAGGTTGATCTCTCTCTCTCTCTCTCTCTCTCTCTCTCTCTCTCTCTCGGAACTTCAGAAGGCTGTGATGTGAAGATCAGAAAGTGAATGGAAATTGAGTGAGTAAAATTATCGTTCCGCCTAAGTTCGTAATATCCGCCGCCCTTTACATACTGATGTATGTTATCTGCCTTTGAGGGTTAGGTTAGGTTAGGTCAGGTTTAGTAAGGTCAATAACCAATTTTCTTGAGATAGTAAAAAAAACAAAAAAACAATGGATTAATTATGAATTGTTTTATAGTTTAACTCCATCATGTCTTGTGGCTGTAAATGTAAATATATTGTTAAATGTTGTTGAAGATGTTTTATGTGATGAGATAACACGTCATAACTTAGACATAAATGGACACAATGAAGAGATGTGAGGTAAGTTGTGGCTGATTCGTGATTGTTTGAGATTTCTGTATATTATTCCCAATCATCGGGAGGATTGACAGGAAAAGGTGGAAGGGGAAAGAGAGAATGGGAAGAAAGAATGAATAACTTGGCTCACTTATTGACACTTGTGTCCCGAGGTGAGGTCCACTGTCCAAGGGTCCAGGGGTCTGTGACTTGTGTACAGTATGGTGACAGACGTAGAGTTTACCGCTATGGAATGTATTTTTTTGTATACACACATTATCTCTCTCTCTATGTATGTATATATATATATATATATATATATATATATATATATATATATATATATATATATATATATATATATATATATATATATATATATATATATATATAAGCACAAAAAGTTTCTTGTTCAAGTAACATTTATTTTAGAGTTGATCGCAGTAATAACAGACACAGAACACAGTTAAGCCTTAAAAGACTTACTTTTACCTTGCTAGGTACAACGTACCGCCTCCAAAGCTTTTAGCAAATGAACTCTATTCACAGGTAAGTAAACGAGACGCATCTTGCAGGTGCAATAATGGTGTACTTGGGAGGCGGAAGATGAGATCTGTTTGTGAGGCTGAGAGTTCCGGAGCTGAGATCAGAGTCTCAGAAGTTCGTAGGCTGTGTCTGCTTTAGCCAAGTGAGGGCATTGGAACGGTAATACTGCTACACAAGATCAAATTATTTATTCTTAATGAGTCAAAAGTTATGTTTTCATCTATCCTCAGACAACTGGGGTGTGAGAACAGATAAAACTGATTTATTTTACGTAAAATCTTAATCATAAAGGTAGATTTTCTAATATTTTTAGGATAAGTTTCTTCGCTAAAAGAGGACACAACAATCCAAATAACTAACGCACATAAGCTAAGACACAACACCAGACTCTCAAAAAGATTGAATATTAAATTCTCCACCAGACTTGGGATGTGAGAATACATGTAATTGTCTTATTTAATTAAGAACATGAATTCTCAAAACTCCTTGACGCTACATCCGGGTAATTGAAGGTACAAGGACGCATATAACCTGTTCTCTTAATTAGGGTTCGAAAAAAAAAACGTTCGTACATATAATTTTCCAAGTAACTGTAATGTAATAACCCGTGTCCGTGTTCATATAGAGTGGGTACAAAATTAGAAGCTAAAATAGTATCGACATATTAACAAGAACTATTATTACCAAAGGAATACAAGAATTAAACGATGAGGTCAATTGCTTACATTTCAATCTTGGTGAATTATGTCGAATTATTTTACTTCATGGTGACCTCTGATAAACCCTCTTAAAGCCTGTTTGACACATGTTGAATCCTGCTGGGATATGTCGACTGGCCTTGAATCCTATTAAATTCAGGTGTATCATGGTAATTCTGATAAGATGTATTGAATCATGAATCTGGGTGAATCTAATTGAGAGAGAGAGAGAGAGAGAGAGAGAGAGAGAGAGAGAGAGAGAGAGAGAGAGAGAGAGAGAGAGAGAGAGAGAGAGAGAGAGAGAGAGAGAGAGAGAGAGAGAGAGAGAATTAATATCGCGTTCGTGCCGCAGTGAGAAATTTACAAAAAGTTGAGAGAAAGAGGGAAAGAGAGATATAAAAAGAGAGGGAAAGATATATAAGATAAAAAGATAAAAAGAGAGAGACAGAGAGATAAAGAGAGAGACTATCTCAACAGTTACTAGCCTCCTCCACTATCTCATACTCGGATCATATCATTTCCAATTCCCTTGAGCCAAGTAATTGACTCCCAGTGTATATAGAGTTATGTATACAGTGTCTTGTGTGTGGTGGTAGTGGTGGTAGTAGAAGTGGTGGTTGTGGTGGTAGTAGTGGTGGTAGTAGAAGTGGTGGTTGTGGTCGTTGTGGTAGTGGTGGTAGTGGTAGTGGTGGTAGTAGTGGGGAGCATAACAGTTGTCTCTAATAATACTGAAACAATTAATATCACTTGCAAATAATATTACCGCATTATAAAATCTCTCTCTCTCTTGCTTTAATCCTCAACCCCGTTAAGGAAGACAGGTGAAATATAACAGGTAAGGTACACATGTGTTGTACGTGTCTCGGGTGTATTAACCTCTCCCTCCTATATTCGCGTGTGTGTCATGGTTACTGTGTCATTAATTTGCTTACATAGCATTTGCATGTAGTAAATGAGTCCACGTTAAGGAAGCGCTTTGTTCCGACATCATAACAATTAGATGATGCCATTGTAACAGTCCGTAATTAGCTAAATTAAATGAGGGTGGGTCCTACTAATTAGGAATTAATAGACTGTTTGTAGTAGTGATTTACCGATATCTAATTAGTGAGTGTGTCCAGTACTTCTTGGAAATAAACTTAATGGACTTTTGTAGAAGAAATTGTAGAAGAAATCTTAACGTTGGAACATTTATTTCTCAGTTCATTACGCACCTTTTCTGATCTAACTGGTGGATATTAGTTCCTCGCGTGAGACAGAGGCATTCTCAAGTGCAAATTAACTCAGCAGTGATCTAGTCTTCACCACTCTTGTTATGATAATTACGCTTCATTACACACAAAATAATAATCACATTAGCTCATCTCAAGGAAGCTCAAGTATTTAAACACAAGCTATTGCGATTGCCAGCGGTAATGCCTTCAGTGTATTAAAGCCCTTTTGCAACTGTATCTACAAGGGTAATATCAAGTGTGCAATATCCATAAGGGTTGTATTGACTCTCTTTGCCATTACGGGACAATGTGAAAACTCTGGTTGTAAACAAAGTGTCTCGACCAACACTGAAGTTTTAATTGTAGTGAATGGAAAACTTAAGTCGTGTTCTGGTATAGTAGGAATTAATGGTAGTCTATTAGCCATTTAGGTGGAGACAGGTAGACAGGTCGATCGTTGAACAGACAGAGACAGACAGAGAGACTAACAGAGGAGAAAAATAACCAGACATACCAACGAAGAGACAGATAAAGCAAATAAAAAAGATGGACATACAAACATACATACAGAACAGACACACAGACACACGAGCCTTCAAATCCTGACTCATCCAGCATCGATGAGAATACTAAGAAAAAGCTTTTTAAACCCGGTAAAAGTTGAGGTCATTAATCCG